AATAATAATAATAATAATAATAATAATAATAATAATAATAATAATAATAATAATAATAATAATAATAATAAAGGACTACTTGTACTTAAGTTTATAGTCCACTTTCCCTTCAAGGAAGAAGAGGGCATCCCACCGTCCCCACTTTGCGCTGCGTTTAATTCCCAACAACCCTACTTTTTCAGAAGCTCAACGGGGAGGAGAATTTCTTTGGGCCCGTCCCAAACCCACCACTCCCAAAACTTTCAACCCCCTCCGCCCCGCTTCTGGCGCCTACCGACCTGGAAGATGAGCACCTTGAAGTGGTTGCGGCGCAAGAGCTGCGCGTGGTTGTGCTCCAAGCGCTTCACCTGGGCGCACTGGCGGTCCATGCGGTCGCGCACGTCGCGCGTGTTGGCGCTGACCTTGCGCGACTTCTCCAGCAGCTTGGCCACCGTGTTGCTGGTGGACGTGTGGTTCTTGCACAGCTTGCTCAGGTCGCTCTGGATGCCCTTGACCGAGCCCTCCAGGTCGATCTGCCGCTGCTCCATCTTCTGCTGCTTCTCCTGCACCGAGTCCAGCATGTTCACCAGCTTGTCCAGGAGAGTTAGCACCGTGATGGCGTTGACTTGCGAGCTGTCCCGAATCGCCTCGCCCGGCCCTGACGGCAGCAAGCTGGGGCTGCGGCTGCCCGAGGGCACCGGGCTGGGATTGCTGGCATCCAGAGGCCCATCGGAGTTGGGGGAAACGTAGGCGCTGCTCTTCTCCGCTTGCACTCCGTCCTCCCCCATGGCGGCGAGGCTAGAGACGTTGGGCCGCTGCGATCAGCTCCCCTCTCGGGTGTTGCAGGAATGCAATCTGCCCCAGCGTCGAGCTCCTCCAATGACTTCTATGCAGCAGCCGAAAACTTGGGGAAAGCTCGGCGCAGCCCCGCCCTTTCTGATCCCCAGATTCCGAAACCAGGAAGGGTTCGAGCCCGGAGTTCGTCGCCTGCAGGTTTAAATTTTCCCCCTCCGTCCCTCCCTCGCTCTTTCCTCCTCGCCCTCTTTCCTTTACGGGCGGAATGTCATATTTCACTCATGAGTTCACGGGCAAAGGCGGGTGCAAAAAAGGAGGGGGAAAATCCCCACTAGCCAGGCTCGGCGCCGCAACTTGCCATTGGTTAGGGCCAGCCGTCTACGCTTTCGGGCGGGCTGCTCCGCTCCAGCGCAAGGGATCCCCTCCCAGTGTTCCCTTACTGGTTTTGTGTGTGTGTGTGTGTGCGTGTGTTTGTTAAATAGGATTGTTTGCGTTTGCCCTTTCTCTGGCAGAAAGCAAGGAAATGGCCGCGGGAAAGTCCAACCCGAGAACGTATTATTGATGTGGGGTGGAGAGGAGGACTTATTTCGAATGGGAACACGAACTGCGGTCCTCCTATTCCTGATCCTATCAGAACTGCCCCTTTGCCTAAGGAACGTGTTGTCCGTTGCAACGTCTTACCGGTCTTCTTCAGCTTCAACCTCAATAATACAGGAGCAAAACAATCGATACAAACCGCTCCAAACTCTATTGCAGTGTAGGAAGTTANATAATAATAATAATAATAATAATAATAATAATAATAGTTGAATAGTTGAAAAGAAGAAAGTATGGTTCATTGACATTGCAATACCTGGAGATGCACGAATTGAAGATAAACAGCAAGAAAAAATCACAAAGTACTGGGAAGACATGCAAATTGAAGTTGAGCGACTGTGGAAAAAGAAATTGTGTGTTGTCCCGATTGTAATTGGAGCCCTTGGAGCAATACCCAAAGGGCTACCTCGCTATTCGGAAAATCTAAATTTATCAGACTTGAACATTCTGATTCTACAAAAAACCACCCCACTTGGAACAGCTTATATCCTCCGACGTTACTTTAACAGTTCCTAGGTCCATGGTTAGGACTCGAGTTGCTGAGCTACCAAAGGCTGTGAATCTCACCAAAGATTAACCACATAATAATAATAATAATAATTAAAGCCTCTGGGACATCTGGTTGCTGGATGCTCATCAGGCTAAAAAAAGTTTGGACTCTCAACTGCCAGGAAGATTGTGTACAAATGGGAGCAACTCTACACCCTTGTGAACAGCAATCAGGATCACACCAAACATAAGGGGTGTAATATGCTGGGAGATCTCAAACAACCCAATCCATCTTCCCTTCGCAGGGTTTGATTTTCTTGGTGATGCTCTTTGGAATTTTCCTATGACACTCTTAAAAAGGAATTTTACAGTATAGCTGTAAAATTACTTGAGCACCCTGTAACAACCACAAATGGGACTCTCAATAGCGACCTAGTTCTGCATTTATGGTTAGAAGTCTTGTTTTGATCAAAGGCTCCCTATGGAGCCGCATGGTCTTACCCAGGGAAGCAGCCTCCACAAGTGGCGTCGGAGGTGGCACTGCAGTTGGACTTCTGGGCCCGGTTGATCAGTGCGCAGGAGAGACAGGACTTGCAGCCATGCGGTCCCCAGCTGTCCTTGAACCTCCTGGGCTGGCATGGGGTGCACTCAGCCTCCCTCCCTTCCCCATAGCCACACTCCTGCAAGAGAGACGCATCCCAAGACTGTTATTCTGTCTATGCATATGAAGGAGGAGGGAGGGAGAGAGGAAAGAAGGGGGAGAGAGAAAGAGAGAGAGAGAGGGAAGGAGAGAGGAAGGGAGGGAGGGGAAGAAGGGGAAGAAAGAGAAAACACACACACACATAGAGAGACAGAGAGAGACCGAGAGAGAGAGAGAGAAAGAGAGAGAGGGAAGGAGACAGGAAGGGAGGGGAAGAAAGAGAAAAGAGAGAGAGCGAGATTTTCCGTTTTACAGAGGAAATGCTGTGAATTACTTTGCAGAGGTGACGATCTTCCATCTATTCCAATAAGAGTAATTTAACATCAAAATATGACAATCCTTCTAGCACTCTCTTCACTGCTGTTTTTTCACCTGGCTAAAAGAAGCTCACCAACACCACCTGCCCCTCTTACTGTGTTCTCAGCAAATACAACATCTAAACCATCTTTAAAGCTGAAGAATTTGGGGAGAGGGTAAATGGTATTTTTTTTAGATAAATACACTTATATATGCATGCATGCATACGGAAAGACCGGACTGTGGCTTTTCCCTCACTAAAAATGTCAGAGAAAAACGTTTAATTCTAAAGTGCATGCCAATTTGCAAAAAGAGAACAAAGCGGAGAAACAGTTTAATTTTGAAAATGCCTGACTGATTTCATCTGAAACAAAATGGCTTGATGTTGAAGTCTACAGTCATAAACTGCTGTGCTAGACCCAAAGAGCTTCCTACGGAATTTCCATTGGGGCGCAAAACGTCTGAGAGGGCACAATAAGCACATCTTCCGGTTACCTTGGACAGTTCGAATCCAGGGCCACACTCCTTGCAGGGGCTGCATTTGCCATGATCGTCCAGGTATTCGCCCTCTCGGCATTCTGCAGGGTTTGCAATGGATTGGGACGCAAGAGCCTGGTGGGGAAAACAGACAGCATGATGTGGCATCTCACACTCACTAGGAAGGGAGTGTGAGCAGCGTCTCCCCAATAACACTTCCACACAACACAAGAGACTGAAAGCAGAATCACTATGTTTTTTAAGGCTTCCATGGCATTCATCCAGAATTCCTGATAAAGTCCAGGAAGCGCACATGGAATTGGATCAGTAAATTCCTCTCAGAGGTAGTTTCCAACGGCTGCTGGCCACCTGACTTCCAAAAAAACCTAAAGTGATATCACTTCTGAAAGCTGGCAGACCACAAGACAGAGTTGAAAGCTATCACCCAATGGCCCCTTTGAGCTCCTGCTTTAAACTCCTGGAAAGATGGATTGTAAACTATTAGGTAATGAGGATTTAATAGCTGCCAGCTGATGTAAATTTGTAATATGTAATCTGTAAGCTGATACAATGAGGCTGATCCAATGAGGTTGATTCAATGCAGCTATGGTATAGCCCAGTGGTGAAATTCAATTTTTCTTACTACCGGTTCTGTGGGCGTGGCTTGGTGGGCGTGATATGGCTTGGTAGGCATGGCAGGGGAAAGATACTGCAAAATCTCCATTCCCATCCCACTCTGGGGCCCGCCAGAGGTGGAATTTTCCAGTTCTCTGAACTACTCAAAATTTCTGCTACCGGTTTTCCAAACTACTCAAAATTTCTGCTACCAGTTCTCCAGAACCTGTCAGAATCTGCTGGATTTCACCCCTCGTATAGCCTCTTTTAAGACTCTGATGGGAGGTCCACACAAGTCTATATATAGGTGTGTCATGCCTCCTTCAATATCCAAGAAAGAAAAACCTCAACTCCATGTTAATAGAGATAAAGTACTTTTACTACAAATGAAGTGAAAACAGCTAAAAGTAAAACAAGATCTGAGCCAGAAAGGCAGGAACATATACATATCAAACGTTTACCCAGCACCCTCCCCCCAATTCCCCAACCCATTGTCCAATCTGCAACTCTCTAAGATGTCATGTGGGGTGCATCTTCAAACAGTCTCATCAAGTTGGTATGCAGAACGGTTGGCCTTGACCAAGTCCAAACATCAGCCACCAGCATGAGCAGAAGATGGTGAGAACAAGACTCCTCCAGTACAATATTATTCCCTTCCCTTCCGCTTCCCCTTCCCCTAACCCAATACCATGCTCCCAGCCCCCGTTCCTATGGCAGCCGATAGTAAGCAAGCGTAGCAAAACAGCCATAAGCAAGTAACCAAAACAGAGGCTGACAAGGTGGCTATTAGAGGGCGTTTCTCTCTCTCATCATGTATCTCATTCTCTCCCTGTGTTCAAGCTATGTGGTAAGGGATTTTGTCTGTATATTTCTGTATATATAAACAACTGTTAATTGTCTTAAAGTTCTGTGTGCTGTGTTTTGCTCACGGGTTTATCTCATAATACTAGTTACATTGCCAAAACTCTGATATAAACAAAATAGGTTCCATAATAGATGAGCATCTTTCTGTTGGAACAAGCCGGCTTCCCACAAGACTGGAACTCTGTAGATCTTGTGTTCAGCTTAACTTATTGAAGCAGGATTCCAATGAAGCCTCAAAATCACGGCCGGATTCGTAGACCTAAGGGTAGGATATGACACAGTCTGGAAGGATGGGTTGTTCCATAGAAACTGTGCCATATTATCCCCTGCAAAAATCTTTATCGACTAATTAACAACATGCTGAGTGATAGACCCTCTCAGATAATAATGGGGAACAGTAAGATAATTCTATCCTCTGGAAAAAATGAAGTTGCCCCTAAAAGCAGCTTTAAGTCAACGGAAGGTGGTCCTTGGTGGTGGAAGGAGAACCCAGAGCCTCAACCAGCCCAAAGAGAGACCCTCACAGACAAGGGAGGGTCCTGTTCAGAGAGCAGCTGCAGAAACTGGCACCTGAATCTGAAGGATCCACTAGCAGAGCCACTGGATTTGGTAAAGGGATCTCCTCAGGAAAAGCCAGATGGGCGTCAAGCCCCCGTTCCGCTTGCTGACCAACAATTGTTGCACTTTTCAAGAGGAACAATATTTGCATCAAGTCTTTCAAGTTGAATGGAATAGAGAAGCTTCACCACCCTTGCATGGCTGCTATGCTAGTGCCTCGCCCGCCGAAGACCACATTGGGGCAAGTTGGCTGAGGTGTTGCCAAGGTGCATTGCCCAACTGTCAGAGTTGGGGCAGTGTGACTATTATTATGAGATAACCCCAAGAGCAAAACACAGTGCACAGCACATAGAGCCTTTATACAATTAATAGTGGTTTATATATACATATTGTATTTTTCGGAGTATAAGGCTCACCTTTTTCCCCACAAAAAGATGGTGAAAATCTGGGTGCATCTTATACACTGAATACAGCATTTTTGGCCTCCTGAAACCCCACCCCCTCGCAAAAATGAACGTGCAGAGAGTTTGGGAGGCCTGCAAAGTGCTCCTGGGAGCTGGGGAGGGCAAAAACGAGCAAAAAATGGGTCATGCCCAAAAGATCATTTTTTTGCTTGTTATTGCCCCCCCCCCCCAGCCACCAAG